GAGAAAATCTCTTGGCGTGCATGTCCTTGGCATGTCCTGTTTGTTTGGCGCTGCCTGCCTGTCCTGTTGTTATCTCGCGCTTTGCTATTTTGCTCTTGTCTGACCCTGTGCCGGTTCCGCGCTAAGTGGATTTTCATTATAAACATAAGCAAGATTTATTATTTAATTTGCGAACATAATTTGTAATTATGTCCACAGGCGCTTGCCTTTCCGACAGTCCTGTTTGCAGCCTGAAAGATAATTGGAAAAAGATTGAGAGGTTTTGAAAGATGCAAGGTAAAGATTAGCTCTGTTTCAATTTAGTTTGCTAAAAAAAGAACTGACACATTTAAGCTAAAAGAGCTCCAGGAACGTAAAGCTTTGTCGCCGTCAACCCTAATTAACTCTTTCGAGGGCCAACTGAGCAGAACTGAAACGGTTCTCAGCTGCGCACTTATATAATTGAAAATTTTAAGAAGACTTACAATTTAAGATATTTTATATAATGGACTAAACTAACTTGTGTGGTGTCCGCCGTCTTCGAAACATTTTGATTTTCAATTGTTCGCCTTCAATTATTTATGCAGATCCAATCAATATAGTCGGAGCTCGTTCAAGAGCCCGTCTCGCTGAAGGGTCCACCACGTAGACTTCCATCCCACACAGACCCATTCGTTCTGCATCCTTCCCTTCCACTCTGATTGGGGATTTTGACACTTTGAGTGGTTTTAGTTGTCAGTTATAGCATTTGGGAAAAAGACTGCGGAAGAGCATGTCTATGAAAAATCCTTTTGATGAGATGAACGAAGGAAAAATGTGAAAGAGGCCAGGCCTTGAATAATTTTATATTCTCAAAAGCATTTATATAAAATTAGATATCTCTATTATGCATATAACATAAAACCCGTCTTTCTAGCATAGATTAAGCTTGAAGCTCATTGCCAATCCGATTTTGTTGACCACTTTCACTTAACCTGATTAAAACTCAATTAAAGACCTGGCACCTTAATGTGCTTAAGCCACTCAGAAACACAAATATACATATATACCTTCTGATGATAAATACTTATACTGGCTGTGGAGAACGCCTCCATAAATCCATTGTGTCTGATGCTCCATATCCTGGGGTCTGTGTCCCATACACAAATGCAATTAATTTATGCTGACCAAGCGGTGGTCCTTGAATGTTCACTGTCCTGTCAACCACTTGGGCAGCAAAAGTTACAAAGGACGAGCACTGGATAGCCGGTGAATGTGTCGAAGGAGACACGACAAAAAAGTAATGGGAATGAAGTTTTGGGTACATTAATCACAGCAAGGATACAGTGCATCAATACAGACTTGCCACCAAAGAACAACTACATGTATTATATATGTTATATATGTATTTGAGTTGTAGTAAGCGAAGCCAGAAGGATGCCAATAAAACTGAAAAAGTGAAACGATAAAACCACGGCACCTCTTAACTCCCAAGGAGGAAAATACTTTACGGCTGACTGGTTTTGATAGTACCCATGTGAAAAATTTTCGCCACTGAAACAGAAACGATTTATTTTTTCGTCGTCGATTAAATATTTAATATCCTTTGGGCAAGGATATAAGCAAATATGCAAATGAATTTATGTATGAATTGTATGTGAAAGGTTGAGTGCATTTAATCGGAGTATTTATCTTGAATGTATCATCAACAAAGTGTAAATATTTTATTAAACAATTAATGTGCTACATGAACATATTTTTACCAGGAAGACCTCTTATTGTGTTACCTGCATTTCAATTGATATAGTCTTAGCTTATCCTGGTTGGCCGCAAAAAGCAATATATTTGATATTGTTTATATCCATTTAGCAATTTTGTCAGATTGTCGTTAGAGGAAAATCCCCCGAATTGAGTACCACTTTGTTGTCTCCCCGCCATGAAAGTGACATGTGTCTGATAGCGAGACTACCTGACCTGACTAACTTATTCGATAATGGAAAATGGTTTCCGCAGCAACTATGTTGTGGAAAATAGACGGAGTACGACAGGTCATCATCAAAATTACATCATCTAATTTCAATTAGACGCTATTCGAGCTCAAGTCAATTATGTCAGACATTCAGCGTGGAGTGTTGAGCGTTTGCTAATGAGCTTTTCTAGTCATTTCACTTTCATTTCACTACTTTCTCGTTCCACGTTCAACGTCATCAAGGTTAATTAAAACATAAACTGTTTTAACTGAATGTTGTCGAGAAGGGATCTGAGCTGCACATCATCACACCGCCCAGACTCCAGAGTCAGCAGCCGCTGATTAAATTTGAGCCATCACACTCTTCCAGCTTCGTCCTGCTTATGCAACAAATTATGCGTCGGCTGTGGCGCGATTCGGGTTTTGGTTTCGCCGCCAACCGAGCCCGGATGGTTGCCCAAAGTCGATTTCATTAATTATTCAACGCACAGCCTGCCCCTGGGCGCCCACTGCTGGTGATTTAACAGCCGAAGGCATTAGCTGCCACTTCCTCGTCTGGTTTGGCTTGGTCGGGACCAAGACCGGGAGTCGTCCTTGTCGGTGTCAACTTGAGCATGTGCCGACTGTATAATGAATTGTGTAGTTTATGTGATGGAGGATTTTGCTGCTTTAGCTATTTGCCTATTTTCCTTATTACTTGCGGAAAATGATTTAGATAGGGTAGGATTAGTAAGGAAATCCCAGATCAACACAGAAATACTGAAAGATGTTGAAGAAAATATATGATTATAATATTATTTTTTTTTAAAAGCTTAAATAAAACTATAACTATTTCTTTAACTATTTAATGTTTATTGTGCCAGTTAGTGAAGCCACTCGTCTAGTCCAACAACCCATATATGCAATAAGTTAATCATGATTAAAGTAACCAACAAATTGCCTGCGTTAAGGGTGTTCCATTTTTTATTGGCTCTCTCCTAATTTGCATGCCAGCTTCCTACGCCGACAATAAAGTATTTCGGGATTTTTCACTCACCTCGAAGTGCCTTTAATTTTATTCCCCAATCCCCTAGGATAGGAAAGAGCAACTATGCACCGAGCGTGCTCCTCCTGGCAGAGGTCCTTGTGGCCATGATCCATTCTTTTGTGACAATTTTATGAGCAGTGCGTGAGGGCGCCACGGCCATATAAAAGTGGAAAGTGGAAACCTTTCCGGCGTGCTCATGGGCATGGGTGCGTGTGTTTAGCATATCAAAATGGCAATTGTACATTGTGTACATTGATTGCGTATGAGTTTATCATGTGATGCCCGTGGGGCGTCGGATTTGGGTCTCTTTTTGAAACGATTTTGGTATTTGCATTTCCCACAGACAAATTCACAGCTCATTTGCCATGCAACAGAACAGAATTGAACCGAACCGCTATCTTTCAATCACATGCTGGTATAGATTTGTGTTTCCTGTTGTCCCTGGTTTATTCATGGAATTAATTACCGAATTTCGCATCATAGGATACTGTCATCTTTTGCGGTCTGTTTTTGTCGTTCCTAATGAGTTTTGTACCACCATATTTAGAAGTGCTTTGGAACCATCCACATGCATTGTAATTAAGCCCTTTTGGGTACCAACTCAGGGGCATTACATTATAATCTGTGTAATTGAGTTTGTTACATAAATATCTAAATATGCCAAAATCTCTAATGGAGATTCGTTCGGAAAGCTGTTACGAAAATATAAATGACTCTGATGTTTAATTAATGATGGGTTTTGTTTTGTGTCTCTATTTCGAAATGAAATGCCTAATATTTCAAAAGATGAAAGCTTTTGGGGAATTAGAGGATTTTGGGTGTTCTATTTTACGCAGGAAATTAGATAGATTTAAGTATTACGTCAATGGAATCCGATCAATTATTCTCTGCTCAAGTAAAGTCGTACATTTCAATTAGTGTTTTTTTTTGACAACTCAAGCCCTGTCAAGTGCAAAAGAAATAACCATTACTATTCTTATCAAAGGCCAACATTGGCACCCAACCAACCAAAATTGGGGGTCATTGCAAGTGACATTATTCATTAGCCAAATGTAAAGTGAAAGCTGTTGATAGTGCCGCAAGGTCAGGAGTCCTAATGGCTGCAAGAAGTCCTCGCCTTCTATCAGTTGTCGTGCAGCTGTGCTTTTTTCCTTTCTCGCCGTCATTATTTTGGCTTCCTTTTGAAATTCCACTTTTGGTCGGGTGCAGAGTAGGACGAGTTCATAATTAATTACGACCGTTAAAATCTGGCACCCAACTTTTGTAGTGACTACGGATGGGTTCTACTTGGTGCACTTGAAGCTCAGATTCTCTTTTGAAATTAAATGAAATATATTCCAACTAATTGGTATAACATTAATAATTTTTCATTAGCTTCGAAATGAGTTTACCTCGGGTCTTAGAATTTTTATAAAAATTATTTTATTTTCTCTTAGTGTAAGTTTACCTTCTTCTCCAAGCTGTGTTCAGTCATTAGTCAATTTTTTCGTAATTTTTCTTGTTGTCATAGTTTCTTTGGCTTCAGGATGCTCTTTGACACAAAACTCTTCCATTCTCGGAAGAAAGGGGGTCCTCAAGTTACCTGGTTGTATTTTCATTTAGATTTTGCCTTTTTTTGTTTCTCTTACCTAATTAAAAGTTGTGGATTTTTGCGGTTTGTAGTTTGTATGGTACCATGTTGTCAGCTTTGTTTATTTATTTTTTTTGTGTTTTGTGTATTGTGAGTATCTATCTGTGTATTTGAGTGGCATAGAACCTTTTTTTAAGCTCCCTGTGATGCAGATTTTATTCCATTATGGCTGTTGTATCCGAAAGGGCACAAGTTTTCTATTTCAAAGTTTGTACCTTTTTTGCATATTTTTTCTATGGTTTTATTTTTTTTTTAGTCGGTCCAAAAAAAGGGCTTGATGTTTTTATGTGGGGAATATTTTTTCCTTGCTCAGAGCTTTATTTAAAATTTTTTACTTCTTCAAAATCATAAATATTCAGTTGGACAAGCAGTGCAGAAGTGAGAGTAAACGAGTATTTTCCTTTTGAATTTTCCAGCTTCCCGCCAACTACGCCGCAAAGTGCCCTACGCCGGCCATCTGATGACGCCGCGTCGCCTCTGGCTCAATAAAATTCCCACACAATGTGACGTGGTTATTGAATTTCCCGAGGACGCGCCAGACGAGGCACTCCGCTGGCTCCTGGCCCGCATCCGCTCCCAGCCACCGGCCGGTCTTGGGCTCCTTGTCCAGGTCAAGGCGCACGAGAGTTCGCGGCGGAATGCCTTCTATGTCAGTGCTCCGGTGAATGTGTAAGTGGAACCTTTTGACAGAGCGGGGGAATATTTAATTAAAAACTTTTCCTTTTGATTTTTCTTCAAAGATTTCAATTGAAACTGTGCTCATTTCCTTATTTCATAAGCAAGTCTTGGTCAAATGAAATTCATTGTGGGCATTTGAAAAGTTTATTAAGATGTTTCTTATAACACCAGATTCTAGATATCTTTTTAAAATTATAAGAATGAGTTTCAAATATTTTCTGATATAAACTCTTATTTTACAGCCTCTTTAAAGCCGCCGAAGATGCCCGCCTGCCAAAGCGCTTAAGACCAGACTTGGGTGGTGCACTGAGAGAGTTCACCACCCGCGAGAGCCACTGCTTCCAACAGCTGCGTGGGGATGTGGGCAGCACGGTGCTGTTCACTTCACAGGAGCGCCAATGGCTGGTCCTTCAGGTGCTCCAAGGACTGCGGGCTGGCTGCAGTGACATCGATGCTTTGCACGGACGAGCGGCCGTTTCTGAGGGCCAGAGCATTGTGGCCGCTTGGCAGGAGTCCGGCCTAATCACACAGGTCTTTCCCCTTCACGAGCCCAGCTCGCTAACCCAGCTTCAGACGCATTGGGTTAAACAGATATTTGCACCACAGCCTTTAGGTAAGGGGTTAGTCTTTAAAAGGTTAAAAGTTTGACATTAAGATAGGACTTTAAGTTAGGAGGTTCTTAGCATAGAAAACTTAAGACAATTGACTTGACATTTTAATTGTAATTTCTGCACGTACCCAAGTTTGTTTCTATAGTATAACTATTATTTACCTTAGTAATGTAAACAAAACATTTTAAAGCACTTACCTATTTTTTGTTCCCCTTTTCAGACGACATTGCTGCCTATTTTGGCGTTAAGGTTGCCTTATACTTTGCCTGGCTGGGTCATTACACCTGCGCTTTGGGCGTACCGGCTGTTTTTGGCACCATCCTCTATTGCATTCTCTGGGGCAAGGGTCAGACCGCCCAGGACATGGGTCATGTTCTCTTCTCGCTGTTCAACGTAGCCTGGGCCTCGCTTTACTTGGAGGCTTGGAAGCGGTATTCCGTGGAGTTGGCTTTCCGTTGGGGCACTTTATCAACGCCACCGGAGTTGCTGGAGCCGCCCAGGCCCCTGTATAAGGTAGGCCAACCGAAGCTATCACCAATTTGTATAATTAATATGTTGCCGCGTGTAGGGTCCTTTGGAGGAAAACAACGTAACTGGGCGACTAGAGCCGAGGGAGGCTCCTGCTTGGCAACGACGTGCGTTTCGCTACCTGGTCAGTTTTCCAATTATAGGATGCTGTCTCTGCATGGTCTTTGTTGTTATGTTTCTCATGTTACGCTTTCAGGTGAGTTTCACTAAAGAAATGTTATTTTGTAAATATATAACTATAAGGATATGGCCTGTGAGTGTGTATGGGTTTCAAATATGAAGCGATAAGTGAATATTAAACTAAATGTAATATATTTAAGGAAAGATCAATGTGCATACTTCTTTCGTTTTTGTATTGCCGAGAATATCATTACCGTATAATCATATTTTTATGGCCCATCCAAATGTATGCAAGTGGTTCGCAACAAACCCGTAAAGCTTTATTTTTATTTGCAAGGGCATAAGCCAAGCGCTCTTGGGCGATCACGAGGTCGTGCCTCCATTTCAGGGCAATTCGCACGGGTGTTACACAGGGCGTATAATTAATATTGTTTTCACATTAAGGGGCTGTGTGTGTCCTGTATACATAGGTGTGAGAGTGAGTGGGTGTTGCCTGTTTATCAATTTGTGTTAGCCACTTTTGGTTGCTGTTTATGTTGCTATTGCTTAACATACACACGCTCATATCTGAACTGCCCCTCGCACACGCTTAACTTCTTTCGAACTTGTAAATTATCGTTTTATTATCCTTTTTTCTGCTACTACTATTTCTAAAAACATACATCTAAAATATGATTAACATTATCACTCACCACGCCTCATTGAATTGATGTTCGTTTTCGTTTTAAACTCTTGTGTTGGTCTTTTGTTGGTTTTTCTATTTTTGTATACTTCACAGGATTGGCTGGATCACCATAACATACCAGACAAAGGAATTGCTCAATGCATGTATAATTTGCACAAGGTTCTTATTCATTTTTAACTTGCATTTCGATTGTTAAGCGTATGTATTGTGTAACCACAAGTATAATTTGTAGTCCCGAGCCAGTGCTTGGCTCTAATGCATAAAACATGCAACATAATTTATGGCCAAGGGGTAGCTTTTATGTCATTAGCCAATTATGTCATTAGCACTGAAAATATCATAATCGGATCAATCGATTTAGCCTTAAGAGTAGTTGATTGCGCTTAGTAGCTTCACATTTCAGTTATTCAGTTGAATTGGTACAATTGGTGGCGCTTTTTCGGGTAGTTCTCCAATGGAGAATCTCCATTAATCCCAAACAGTTCCAGACACAAAAGGAATTGTTTTGGTTTTCACTCTTCCAGGCTGTGCTAACCAAGCCTTTTTTCATTAAAACTTTGGCCACACATATGCAGTTGGGTCGAAGCGTTTTTGTAATGGCTTGCGGCTATTATTTTGCATACGCAGTTCTTTTTTTCCACATTTTTTTATACTTTTTTTTAACCAAGCTGACGTTAATTAAAATGCTCAGCTGGCGAAAAATAAACTGCCTTTGGGGAAGCTGAAGGAGGAGCAAGATGTGAATATATATGGCGAAAAAGGAACACATTTAAGCCCAGAACTGGGACTCCAACATCGACGTTGATAAAATACTAAGCAACTTGTGTTGACATTGGCAAATTTTACGGATAATTGAAGATTCAGTAAGAGAAAAGCGACGAGCTAAGGCCAAAAGTTAGGGACAATCTGAATGGACGATGGACGAATGCTGCCATCTTGAACGACCATCAACTAACCGTGACCTTCAAGTCCTCATTGTCTTTAAATCTTGGGGGAAATAAACTTTAATTTGTCCGTTAGCGACTGATGGGGGAATTCTATTTTTTGCAGCTGGCTGTCTTAAGCTTTGACCTTTATGTGATAATTGCGACAGGTCCTTTTGAGCTTTAGAGCTCTTGTCAAGCGAGGGAGAAGTCTGAAAAGAATTGAAATAGTTTTGAATACTTCCTCGCTTATCCTATAGAATTAAAGATTTATCTCTGGCCTTTAAATCCTTTAGAGGCGTGTCTTAAGACCTTTCACGCTTTCTCGATGAGAAACCATTTCACACTTTCGTCTGTTCATCTCGTAAGAAGTGCTAAAAGCTGTCAGCCTTAGTGGACATGTTCTCATCTCTCTAACCAGACAATGGACCTTTTAGTTGTTGTCGTTACTGTTGTTTGGCTTTTGGCCACTGTCGGGTGTTTGCTGGTAGTTCATGTGGCTTAATGCGTACCTGGTAGCCTGAGAGCCTGGGGACAATGGCATTTTCGGTTCCGTTCTTTTTACTGCTCAGCCGAGCACCTAAATGTTGTCGTAATGAAGCGTGCCACGTGTGGGTGCTTGTGTGCGGTTATGGTGGAATTTGTCAAGAGCAGACTGGTATGGTGAAAGGACAAGTATCCAGTTGACTGTTTAGTTGTTAGCTGCAGTATGTGTGTCTGTATCAAATGACTTGGAGAGCTGCTGAAATTTAATGGAAGTTTCCATTTCGTTAACTTCCTGGATGCATTACCTTGATTATAACTCGGCTGCAAAAAATAATTAAAGCCCATTAAACATAATACGTCAATAAAAAGGTGTCCAACTTCAAAGGGAATTAACAGCTATTAACCAAATTGCCGTAATATGCTGGATAGTTTGGGGAAAAAAGGAATTAAATTAACTGCCTATTAAGCCGAACAATGCGAAACTTTATAAAAGCTTTTTAAAACATGTAGCTACATTAAACGAAGGCATGAAAGGCTTTTGTTAAGGGATACCTATTGTATTTAACTCTTTAACAAATAGTTCACCAAATATTAAACCTGTATCTGGGATATCCAGAGGAAAAACAAACCACAAACAAACTAATCCCTCGGAAATAACTCCAAACATACAACATCCGGTTGAATAATAGGAGAAAAATAGGTGGGGAAGTGGGGAATTATAATTAAAGGTTAATTAAACGATATAGGAGTTGGGCTGAAATGGGCGTCCGGAAATTGATTAGCATTTTCAAGTGGGTGGGTGGCACTAATGTTGATTAATATTTACACTTCCCCTTAGGCATCTGGCTAATAAGAAAATCCCTAATTAAGATTTATACAAGGCTTATTTTATTCCCTAATACTAACAGGATTGGTGGGACTCGAAGTTGCCGGAGGAGAGTGTCCTGTGCTGCCTAAGTGTCATTCCGAAAGTTCTACTGGCAGGAGCCATTACCCTAATGGACGAGGCCTACTTTAAACTGGCAGTGTGGCTCAATGATCGGGGTTAGTATGGCTATTCGAGTGGTTGACCTTATTAACCAACATTTAATTATTATTTTACAGAAAACTATCGTCTGCAGTCCAAATATGAGAACCATTTAATAGCCAAAGTGGCTTTGTTCCAATTCGTCAACTCGTTTCTATCACTTTTCTATATTGCCTTCTACTTGCGCGACGAGGATAAGCTTAAAGAGGTGAGTATAATATTTTTTTTTAATTTTAATTATAATTTAATTTAAAATTAAAATATTTTAGCAACTGGCTGGTCTACTAATCTCTCGTCAAATCATTGGAAACCTACGCGAGTCTGCCCTTCCCTACTTTGTCGAACAATGGAAGTTGGCCAAGCTGAGCTTCAACATGTGGGGAGCTCTGAGCCCCACCCAGAACGTGACACGCAGCCTGGCCGAGGAACTGGCAACGGCAGAGGCCGAGCTTAAGGCGGAGGGATCTGGCACGCCCACTAAAAGCCACCAAGCCCACCAAACCGAGTCCAAACGGAATATCGGGCAGGCCGAAATCGAGAGCTCGCTGTACAAGGTGAGTGTGCGGCATTTTAATTATTCAATTGCAGGTTCACCTCTGTTTGCTTCCCGTTTTTTCCTTTCAGTATGATGGCACATTTTCGGACCATTTGGAGATGCTCGTCCAAATGGGGTATGTGGTGCTCTTTTCGGCCGCCTTTCCCCTGGCCGGCGTCTGCGCTTTGATCAACAACCTGATGGAGATTCGCTCCGATGCCTTCAAGCTGGCCCATGTGCATCAGCGTCCGTTTGGACAGCGTGTGGCCAACATTGGCACCTGGCAGAATGCCCTGAGCATCCTTTCCCTGGCAGCTGTCATCGTGAATTGTGCCCTAATTGGCCTCTCTGGTCAGGTTTCGAGGCTGTGGCCGGGACTGACCACCGCTCAGACAATAATTCTGATTGTCACTCTCGAGGTGAGTTTCTGGTTCAGTAAGAGTTCTTCAAAGCAGATTGATTTTAATAATTTTGAATTCCAAGACCAGAAACAAAGATGAATTAATAATCTTTACTCTGATTTTAGCACATAATGTTGGGGTTGCGGCAGGCACTCACCTGGTTACTGCCGGAGTTGCCCTCCTGGCTGGCGGCGGAAATCGCACGCGCCGAACATTGCCGTCGGGAAATGCAGTGCAAGGGCACCTCGCCACGACCCACACCGCCCACGCCGCAGTCGACCACGTCCACTCAGCCGGAACAGGAGGGCACCGGCGGCATGCAAATGGATAGCGGCGCCAATACCACCCACGATCAGTCCATGGAGAGCCAGGTGGCCGAGGATATATTGCTCTATGGTCAGGAATTCGCTAGCTATGGTCGCAACATAGAGGCGGATGTTAATATTTATGAGAATCGTGACTCGTCACCGGACTCACCCCCCTCACAGGTGGGTGTTGCATTTGTTGGAGGTCTTCTAACATGCATTTAAAATTTGCACTTTTACTTTGCAGACCAGCACCATACTCATCAGGCCGTTGCACGAGTCAACCCCTCCGCACGGTGGCGCCTCAATGTCGAGTCTTCATCAGGACGGCAATGGCGGGTGAGTTTCCCTCAATTAGAGTAATAACGAAGGAGTTAAGGTCTTAACATCCTAAGTATTTCGCACACGCCAGCGAACTAATGGTCCCTAAGCATTATACTCGTAAACTACATGCGCTCACAACAGCTCGATTTCGAGAGAACGTTATTAAATCTACCTTTTTTATAACTTTACTTAAAAAAAATATTCTTCTAGCTTTTTAAGAGCACTTTCTTTTATTAATACTTTTGGCTAATCTTAAATTAAGATGCATTTGTATATTTATTCTTTGTTAGAGCTTGTCAGAGTTGTGTTAGAAAATCACAAATCTTTATACCGGAAATTCCGCCATACCTTGGATATTCTGTGAGAAATTTAACAGCTTTAACCGGAAACATTCCGAGAATGAAACAACAGCAAAAAAAGCTAAAAAGCGGGTAAATCATGGCTGGATTGGATAGTTCGTTAGATGATAGATCAGTGTGTTTTAAACAAAAGATAAATATAATAGAGTCTATTACTAAATAGATCACATGAATGCTTCAATAGTTTGTATCTGGAACTGGTTTCGGAAGTCGTTGCGTTCGAAATCGGTATTAGATTTGCTTTCTTTAACCCTCTAATGCTATTCAAGAAAATAAAATGATTTAAATGTATTTAAAAGGTTTTGTTTTTAAGCCTTTGAGACTTTGAAGTTTAATCCTAAATGCTCCAAAACATATGTAATCTCTTGACTGGTTTTCAGATCCTTAACTTTCTTAAACCTTAATCATGTATAGCTGTTAGAAACGTGTTTTATAAATATGTTTCGCAGATAGTTTTCGTATTAGAGGGTTATTATATGTTCGTTTCTGTGTAAATACTCTTCACAAGCCTTCAAAATTCGTGAACTTCTCTCTATTGGCCAAACTGCTGAATCTTCGTTATCTCATTTTATATGTTACTAATGATATGAGCTTTATCTAAAATTTTTTACTATATTTCTTACACGATTTCTGTACTTTTTCCCCTCTTTCTCGCTTTTTGTGGCACAGAGCTTCTGCCAGCACGCTAGCTCTCAACTCGGCGGCTTATGCAGCCCGTATGCAGTCGATGCATATCCAAGAAATACCGCCATTCCGAAAGAAATCCAGCGATTCGGCTGATCACACTGGCAGCAGCACCAGCAGCAGTCCCCAGCGGACCACAATGCGCCAATTATCCGGACAAAGGGATCCGCAGCAGACGATCCCGGAGATACCACCGTACAAGACGCGAAAAATATCCGCGGAGAGCTCCACGCCCCTGAACATGAGCGTAAGATCTTTGGGGATAGAACTGTAGTAGAATCGCACTTCTTATAAACAGGAATTTCCCTCTAAATCACAAGAATTTCCTTAGTGACCAGGCCAAAAAGGCCGCAGTAGCTGCTCAATGTATATTTTGTGTCTGTAGAAGTTTGCATACCCCGATAAAAGCTCCGATAGTTGTGAAACTCACTAACAAATTGTAGCTGTCCTTAAACATCACTTTACTAAATTTACTAACAATCTCAAAATCTATATCTACCAAACTTTTAAAGGGACTTTAAATATGTAAATAGGAAGGAGGATAACGATATACGACTTATTAGACTCTTTAGAATACTGATTTTTATTAAGTAATTGGGAAATTGAAATATAGATTTAAAAATGCACTACCTTAACCCTCACTTGAATAAATACAAATACTCACTTAACCCAAAACCCCACTCGACTCTTGCCGTTCAAAGGACAAGCTACACATAAAACTTCATGCACCAGAATGGATGTCTCGTTTAAAAGTCAACGATAATACGAATCTCCATAGGAGCATAGATTGTATTGCAAAGGTAGTGGCGAGATGCCTATAACTATGTATTTATATATACCTGCATATATCAAATCCATATGCATACGAATATGAAAAATGTGTTTGTTAATTGATGTGTATTGTTCGTCCTTGGAAATTACTCAGGATCATTGACAGTAGATGATGTATTAATAGTATTACTATAAAGTTATATCCATGTTGAAAATTGCTTTTATTGAAAATTCAAGTTTTGGGCAAGGGGGAAAGTAATCTAAAAACATTGATTTGGCATGGCAGAAGCTTTCTTACAAACAACCCCACGCTGGCTTCTCAATCCACCACACCTCCACCCCATCAATCATATAATGGCATGGATTTTGAGCATAATACACATGAATATATAAAGCCTATCCCCAGAAAGCTTTTGGTGTCTGTAGATTTGGAGTTCAAACACACTATTAACTTAACAACTAACTCTTATGGTTTTCTCCGTATATCCAACTGAAGGAACTCGGGAATACAGCCGACACCGCGGATATCCTAAAGCCGGCTCCATCCTGGTGCAACGTGGCCATGAAGTCCGGCGCACCTGGCAGCAATTTAGCAACACCACCAGCCTCCCAGCAGCAGCAGCAAATAGTCGCATCCTCATCGTCGTCCTCGGGTGGCGGGGGTAGCGTTTTCAGTCCCAGCGGTGCTGGTCCAACTGGCGCACCCGCTGGCATTAGTAATTCCCAATCCCGACCCAGTGTCGGCGCCCTATCCAACTCCTCATCCAGTTCATCCCATAAGCAGCAACAAAAGCTTGCCAAGGAGGAAAGGGAACGAGAAAAGGAGAGGGAAAAGGAGAAGGAGAAAGAGAAAGAAAGGGAAAAGGAGAAAGAAAAAGAAAAGGAGAAAGAGGCTCAGGCCGCATCCACATCAACGGGCAACACAGATGATGAAGCCAAGGGTAATTTTTAACTTTAATATAATCGGTTTAATTTTTATCTTACATTATATAAACTTTACATATTTTTTTGAAATTTTTCATTCTTTCTGTCCTTTTAGCAGCTGAATTGGCTGCCAAGAAATCCCGCCTAAAACAGAAGCTGGTCAAGAGTGCGAGATCCGTGGCCATATTCTCACTAAAACTGAAGGAGCGAAGACAGCGCGAGGCGGAAAAGGCAGCCACCATAGCCGTTGAACATGCCAAGGTAAGAAAATAAAATTTAAGAAAATATATATTTATTATTAAATAAAATTTCTATTTTATTTACAGGCCCTGGCAAAGCTACCAATGCCTCAGCCAGTGGGTGGGGAGCTTTCTTGTATACCCATCGAACAGTTAATTCAAATCGACGATATCAAACCTGCGATTAAGCCTGCAAATCCATCAGGAATGACAGCACCCACATCCTCGAGTCAAGCCGGTTCTTCGACGTATCAATATCAGAATCAATACCAACAGCCGCAGCAGTATCATCCGCCCTCACATTCGCACCCACATACGGATAATTGAGCTTATTAAATACGAAAGTACCGAAATTAATTAACCACCCACTCGCACACTTTGTAAATAGTTTTCTATGCACTGGATCCTTCCCCATCTAGCTGAGATTTTATCGAAGTTACCGATGATATGTGAGCAAATTTGCTGAATGTGTGTCTTGTCCAGAGTTGGATGCAACTATTAAACTATACCTAGTAGTATTTAGTAGAGAAACTAAGTTATGTCATCGAAGAGAGAAGCGTATGTTTTGCAGAAATCCGTTTTTAACGAAAATCTTGATAATATTTAGCCTTCTGCAATAGTTGAAACATTAAAAAGCAGTAAAGCCAAAGCAATAATGTTTTGAAACGAATTTTTGGTTAGCATCTTAGCTGTTGAATGTGTTTTTGGTAGTCAATGTTAATTAGCGTTTAGCAGAAAAAAATCAATTTGTTACACGAAGAAATGTTGAAAATGTTACGTTTTGCATTTATGTTGCCAGTAAATGAATATTGAATATACGTATATTAATTAAGGAATACAACAATCAAACACACTCACCCACGAATCAAAATCTGACAGCACAACGACTTAAGGCACTTACACGAAACTGTGAGATAATATCGTCCATTGTTCCTTCCATATTCAAGGTTTAAGCCTTCGCACTCGCTTTTAGCTATATGGTACAACTGATCGGATAAAAACTATCAACATCAGCAGCTTTCTTACGAAAAACTATAACTATAATATGCTGCATTTCTTCGTTTACTCAGTACTTGCTTTATTACAAGAAATATGTATCGATATTGTGGGCACAGGACCTACTTTTAAACACAAATGCACTCAAACACTCACCCAAAGGATATTTGTAAATATATTGTAGCTGTTAAGTGTAATTGAAACGATCTATACAAACAAAAATAAATTAATGATTGTATGTGCTTTTGTGTTGGAAAAACGAACTCAATTAAAGCCCATTCATTTGAGAAACCCATTAACTGATTTTAATTAATTGGGCTTTAAACTTGGCTAAGAGGAAGTTCTTCGAAAAAGCAGAGTATACTTTTAGGAACGATAGTATTTCAATAGAAAAGTATAAATTACACAGTGCAACAGAGATTCTGAATTTTTAATGTGACAGTAAGAATTACTTACCTGGTTGGATATAACACAAAACCGTGTTTAAATTATTTGTATTACACTAAAAATCTTGATTTTTTTAAAAACAACCGCTTTTTGCGACTTTTTTGCGCTTCAAAATTCTTAAACGCGTTATTTTAAATCAATTTTCGCATTTCATTCCTGTTTTTCGGATTTTGACGCCATTTTTTCGGTACAAATTACAAAAATTCTGTCATTTATGACACATATCAAGGTTGTCTCATTAATACTAAATAAAACGAGACTAATTTTTCTTAAACTTTTTTACCATCTTATGATTTTTAAACCTTTTTTCTATAAAAATGATAAAACCAAAAAAATCAGTCTATAAGGCGATATAGTGACTATTTTGAAGAATTTAAATAGACATTGGATAAATCTTAGAGGCCTCATAGATGTATGGTTTCTTCGAACCAGGTTCTTATTAAGGCTGATATGAACTTTTTGCTTCTAAAACCCTCTTCCATTAATTTATTTCTTTGTCCCTTGTAAAAATTCTTAAGTATAACCCTCATTCCTTTTAATTGGTATGCAACTAGGTAGATCTGAAAAATATGTAAATCTTGTAAACATCCCCATACCCAGGCACTTGTTTTAATTAAAAGGGTCAAGGATAATGGACGGCTTAGGGTCGGCTGTGGAACTTTTCCACAACTGATTGTCATATGCATCGTTGCGGTTGCGGTTTAATCATTACGTTTAAATCAAATAGAACAGCTCCTCCAGCCACTGCCCTCCACATAGCACTGCACTAGATGGGAACAAGTGTTTTGCGAGTGAGATTCTGTTTTTATTTTATTGTATTTTTTTGCAACAACATTTTTCATTTTGTTTTATAGCCAAGCTCAACGAATGGTGGACACGGGTCAAGTCAACCCTCTGCACACATGGGTCTCTCTCGCAATTCCACGTACAAATCTCTTACCTCAGATCCCATACCTCATACCCCATATTCTCTTGCCCCATGCCTCGTACATCGTCATCGTCATCGCCATCAACACTTGTCATTGTTGCAGGTGAGATGTCGTTGTTGTTGCTGCTGGAGCTGGAGCTGGAGCTGCCTGTAACTGATTTCAGTTGGCTGATAAAATTTCTGAGCGGAGCAGTTGCTGGCCATTTGCCTGCTTGACAAACGCACTCCTCACGTACGGCTAATTAACGCGCGTTTTAGGGCCTCGCTCCCGTAAACCCCATAGGCCCCGAGCTCCCTCACCACTCACCGTCATACCGCTCCCCAACTGAGTGTCTCCTTTGTCCCGAGGGGCACGAGTCGCATTACGCATGCATTATGGCCTGAGGTTGCAAAGCTGACACGATTGTCCGTCCCACTGGCCGCTGCGATATGTGTCGTATGCTAAATGAAGTTCAAGTATTCGTAGCACGACAGATTTATCTGAAAGGTGGATTGCAACTTAAAGATAATTCAAGCACTTTCAAATAATTAGTAATATCTGATTTCAGAAAGTTCCTGATTTCAGAAACGCTTTACATTTCGCCACACAAACTTTGTTTGGTATTTAATCCCCAAAAAAGTATGCAAGTATAAGTATAACCTGTCACCTAGGATCATAGTTTATATAAAAGGGTTTCGATTCTTTAAATGCTCTAAATTTTGCCACTAAAATGAAGTTTAATAATAGCCTAATTCGAACCGTCATAATCGTTAAGATCACCGCCGAATTCCCGATTTCGACCGGAAATTTCAGTCAAAAGCGGTACCCACAAAACAAGTGTATTGCAATAAACCCAAAAACCAGAGAGCCAAATAAAATGAAGGAAAAAACCCTAACAAGATCTTGCCAATCAAAATGGCCGGCTCTGACATAAATCTGCGCAACACCCAAACGAAAAAGTAACACCGGAATAATGGCTTAAAGCCGGCCAGAGAAAAGAGGGGTAGGAAACCTATGTCGGAAACCATAACGAGCCAAAGTTGCTATATGTACTTGTACTCCAAAGAGATCGCGAAGGTTGCTCGGATGTTAATGACGATGATGATCATCGTGGTGATGATGACACACGAACCAAATAGCCACCGAGCTGAAAACAGAAAACGCTTTATGAGTGATATTACCGTAAGATAATGGCCAACAAAAACGAACAGAGTCCAAGCCACTAACTGCCACAATCTTTTTGGGGCGTTGTCTGGGATACAGGTTGGTGAAATCTGTTTGGGATCCGGACTCCGGAGTCTGGGGCCCATGCACCTGACCCGAAAATGTTTCACATTGCGCGAGTTACAGTTAAACGCCATTTTTTCCATTGAATTTCGGTTGGTGGTTTTGGCCGAAGAGATCTCTGGTTACGAGCGAGAAAGCCATTGGACTGGGATGGATCCCATCCAGTAGCCAGCAATTTGTCTGTCCGAAATGGCTGGTTGGGCCATTAATATGTGGACAGAAGACTCACAAAAAGAGGGGGTATAGGGACGGGATGCCCTCGAAAAACAAAAATGAAACGGCAGAAACGGCCACGCCTCGAGGGCGCAACGGTAAATGGCCCCCAAGACGGGGACTCTGTATTTGTCTGGTTTTGGTGCGATTTTATTTTAGTTTACTCAGAGCTCCGGAGTCTGACCCATGGTTTATTCACCTGTGGTCATAGCCAGGCACAGTGAGCTTAAATTAAAATTTAAATTGCTATAACATTTTGTTGCTGTTGCTGCTGCTGCTGTGACTGCTTCTGCTGTAGAGTGTTCATTGTTGTTTATCTTAATGAAACTTTTTAAATCACTTTTAAGAGCGTCTGTCGGTTGTTCGGTTTGTCGGTTTGCTGGTTTTTTTTCGGTCGAACGGGCTATTAAAGCATACGCTATATATAAAGCTCACACTCTCTCGGAACTCTTTGATTTAAATGCATTTAATTTTGAGGCATGTGAAAATTAATTACATTTAATTAGCCTGGGCCGTACCATTCCATTCCCTCCATTCCGATACATGTTGCCGTTGTGCGCTTTTAATTGTTTGATAATTTCAATTTTCGTTAAACCCCAAACCAAACCAGAAAAAAATACACAGGGAACACATGTTAAAGACCGGGCTAATAAAACTTTTAAATCCTCGTCCGTGCTCGTCCAGTAGCTTTATGGCCTCGCCTTCTCGAAAGTAGAACGATCTTGAAGTTGCATTGAGAAGGTCACACGACTATTTAATTGAATTTCAAACGAAATGTACTTAGGCATCCATCCGCCTCAGGGGTCTCAAAGGTAACCAAATTAAACGGAAGTAATGTTCCACTTAAATTCTTTCTTGGATTGCCAGTATTTAAATTTCATTTCAAATCAAAGAAATCGGTAGTATCTAGTTTTATTTCTATTTAACTCAATTAGGGATAGATTGCTGGGGTAATAAGTCTTTAAATGGAAATAGAATTCTGAAATGTAAATTCCCTAAGCAATTCTATAAATTCTATTACACTTTTGTCATGTAGCATATTCAAAACGCAAATTAGTTTCGTTTAAGATTTAATCTTTATAGTTTCCCCAAGAATATACTTCTCTTGTCACCTGTCGGTCGCCATAAAGAATATTCTAAATGTGCCAAGTGCCCCCAGACATACCGAGATTTCGACCCAAGGGTTAATGTCTATAATCTAGCTATAGTCGCGTCGAGAGTGCTGCCAAATGACAATTACCTTTTGTTCTCGAACACTAAAAATGGAACTTGTTTGGCTTTGCCTGGACCAACAAAAAGCTAAACAGAAAAACGAGCACAAAGAATGCTTTATGTGCAATTAAAGTAAATTTAATTAAATAGCAAATGGTAAACGGTGAACAGTGAACAGTAAACAGCGAGTGCAGGCAAGCAAGTTTCATCTATGAAACTGGAGAGAGAGAAGTCTCATCTAGTGACAATTTATGGCACAGTTTGGCATTCGTATAACCAAAACGTGGTATAACTCAAAGGAGGTGCTGCCGAGATCTTTGGGATCGCAAAGAGCGCCGAGATCTCTTCATTGCCGTACGCTGAAAACTGTCAACAATTTTGATGAAAATAATTGGCGACCAGCAGCTGTGGGCGACACGGCGGCCCCAGTCCAAGACGAAGGCCCCAATTACGGAACTGGGGGCGATAAAATGCGTACGTGTTCATAAATATTGTCAATTAGCGAGGGCCCTGGCCATCGATGAGCAGAAACAAACGGATCGAGGGCTAATTGCAACTGCAACTGAAGCATCAACTGGAAACAAGTTACGCAACAATCATCAATGAGGATTGAGTTACATTTACGATCGTCCAGACCAGGTCGAGCCTGGCCAGTTCGGAAAGGCCGACTCGGCGACTCCTCGCGGCGGCTGGGTTGATTGATCAAACGGTGACAATATGGCACTTACGGGTGCAATCAAAACAAGGATGGATCGTATGGATTCGACGGATTCGATGGATTGGATGGATGCCCCCGCAGTCCTCCCGATCGGTCACTCGATCATTATTTTATAAAGCGTGCTGACTGCATAGCAAAGCGTTGCCATTGCCCGAATGCCGCTTGATTAGCTTCTGGCTATAGGTACTATCACCTCTGCATCGTGCCGGGGACTTGGATTGATGAGCACCTCTGGTTGCCAGCAATTCACATAGCACATTCCTCCCCCTGGGCATTTTCGGTCTCCGGCAGTTAATCCTTAAGTTAATTAAATTAATTAAATCTTTCAATTGCTGCTTGGGGGATTTGAATCAGGTAGAGAATGCCAGAATCAGTCAGTAAATTATTGGGATAGCAAAAGTGTAAAATTTGTTCAGCTGGTAAGTGTTCAGACCACATTAAAGAGGGAAAGTTAAAAGATTTATAGCTATGCCTAGAGTGTCTTTCAAAAAGTCTCTAAGTTTATAAAAG